TTTTTTTTTTTTTTTTTTGTGAACAAAAAGATTTTATTGATGCAAAAACAATTACACGAGTCAATACCAACGAAGAAGAGGCGTGCAAAAGCATCAACAATTAATGAGTGTTTTGTAGAACAACTTGGGTAGTATTACTGCAGGTGTTATTACTAGAATAGAACAACTTGGGTTAAAAAGCAAGTTCCAATGCAATTTTTATTTTTTTATTTTTTTTTTCCTGAGATAGCGTTAGTATGTTAATTTAGTTAGATTACAACTGAAAGGCCGCTATCGTTCCATCAACTCGAACCTTTGACCTCTCCCTCACTACACCGTAAGGTATAGCTATTAGATCATTGGATCACACCCCAATATCTCAATGCAATTGTTATTTGAGCTATTGAATTTTGACATTACTATCCTTTTGTGCCGTTTATTGGCACAAGTTTTTTTAAAAGAGTTTTATTTGTATCTCTCTCTTGATGAAGAGTTGTTTTGGGAAGATAGAAAAAAATAATTTATTTACTTTTTTTGATATTTTTTGGCTTTTTCATAAATTCATTTGAAAATTTCATTTTTTCTTTTTGTAAATTATTATAATATAGTGTCACATCATTTTTGAAAATTGTGAAATTTCCATAGTACCCTCATATACATTTTCAAAATTACCACTTTATCCTTCTTATGTAGTGACAAATTTTGTTGTTTTTAAGGGGATATTTCGGTAAATTTGTGTCATAGCTTATTTGAGTCCTGCCAAAAGAAAACATGCATCAAATAAGCAGCTTTTTGCTTATTTCCAAAAGCATAAAAACTGCTTATTTAGGTCTTCCCAAAATGGCCCAAGTCTACAAATACAATTTGTAGTTAATTTTTTGTGAAGAAAATAAAACAAATAGAGCATTTCTCCTATTAGAACATTGTTGCCAAATATTATTTTGGACTCTCGTTTTGAGCCATTGTCACTAGTAATTATTCAATAATTATGAATAACATCATTCGGCCTGAAGTCCACTTGCTTGGCCCTAGGCCAATTTTACCCTACACAAACCCGTACCTCAGGTGGTTTGGGCTAGATCAAAGGAAGCTTGGTCTTGGGTTGGGCCTAGATGTTTAAGCTTGGCCTGTGAGAGACGGCCGAGCTCACAAACCAGCAAAAAATAAGAAAAAAGAAAAAATATATATTTTTATAAAATTCAAAAATAGGCTTGAATCACGGCCCTTAGAGCTTAGTCTATTTAGGCCAAGGGCTTGGGCCTAGGATTTTTGCTCTGCTCTAATCTAGCCCAACTAAACGCTACCCTTAAGAAAAATCTAACCTATTGCACTTAGCCTACAAGCAAGCTTAGGTACCAATTTCTCGAGCTAGGTCAGCTCAACCTAATGTCGATCCTTAGTTTGGGATCATTATGTTACCTTTGATCATGACCACTCATGATCGGTCACCTCAAACAAAGTGAGACTCAAGATCTCACTTACTTACTTGAAACCCACCTTCTTGAAACGGTAAAAATGCAAAATCTCGAGTCCTACTTATTTGAAGTAATTTATGAGTAGTGACCCAAACGTACATATGACATGATCGTCCAAACCACTTAATAATTTTTCCACTTCAACACATGCTTTAAAAATTTCTAATAATAGGTAAAATTTTCAAGTTTACCACTCATTTTTCGTAACGTGATCTTATTTATTGCAAATTTTGACAAGTTAATATTCTAAAATCAGTTAAAAGCCGTCCCAATTTTTCAATAATCAACTTATATAAATATACTTTTTATTTATAAATAGTAAATAAAAATTACACCAAACATGACACAGAAAAATCATAAACACCCTACAAACTACAATAAACAAGCCAATGGTTTGAAACAAGTTACTTGTAAGCTACTTTACAATACAATTTTCACTGTCATATGGAGGTTGGGATTCCACATCAGACTATGAGCCAAAACCTACCAAGAACCATGTGGACTAGCTTAATAATGTAATTATCAATCTACTATAAAAGACAAATGAAGTGTGATCTTAAAGGTTTTTGCAGGCACACAACAAAATTAAAGAAAAGAAAAAAAGATAGTTTAGGTATATAAGATTTGACTATTATTATCTATGAAACCAAGAGGTTTAGATTGAGACTAATAACAATGAAGAGATTCCCACTTTGGACTGTTACTACTAACCCTCACATGGGTTCATCCTTTTTTCAGTGGGAATTACAGCAGATCGCCAAATGGGTTTGAGACACGTGGCTGATTCCTCCACATTACAACTGTACAAACTTTTTGAGGGCTGGTTTTAAGACATTAGACCAAACCTTATTGGAGGAAAAAAGCTTGTTCTGAGGGCATTTGTCTCCCTTTTGGTCTCCCGACTTGTGAGCAACATTTTGTTTTTATACCCTCAAAACTAAGGACCTGTTTGGTCTTATTATATCTCATGTTTGTGTTCTCAGCACGCTTTACAATGTCAGATCAAGAGAAAAGCCCCCTTATTTTTCTTAATTGGGTGCTTTGAATCTTGCCCATATTTGCCAAACTATTCTCTCCCCACCACTTTAGAAAAAAAAATAATAATAACAATAATAATAAAATAATATTAGAAATCATAAAAAAAATATCATAAGATATTTCATAAAAATTCTCTATTCTTGAGTTACACATACAATATAACACCGCATACTAATTAAAGGATGAAAAAATTTCATAAAATATTTCATAATATTTTTTTCATAATCCCTAACATTACTCATAATAATAAATCTACAGACACAGAATTAATAATTATAGAAAATGGTGAAATCTGTTATATAATTTAATTCAGATTGTTTCACTTACATTTTATGCAATTGATTTTGTTGTCAATTGTGTCCGTAAGCTTATTGCAAGAAAAGAAACTAGACTCTCTCTCTCTCACCAAAAATTATTACATGGATTTGAAATAATGGATGGTTGTATGTCCGACAAATAATGTTTAGTAATTTATTTATATTATTCTTATATTTTTGACTATGTAAATATATGACACATTATTGAATCAATTTTGAAAGGGCTAAACAATCACTCTACTACTAACAAAGATAAAGAATGTTTTATGCCATCCTGCGTCTTTCAAGACTTCAAACTTTCGTTATGTTAACTTCTTCATTTTTTTTTTTTCGTTTTTTCAGGTCTTTCCTAATTTATAGGCAAATCAAATCTTGTGCTTGATTTTTGATTCTTCCAATATTTCAATTGACATTCCTCAATTTTTAGATAATACGTATTTTTTAATTTGTTTAAGTTATTTTCGAGTCATAAGTTGTAAAGTAATTTTATTACAGCGTGAGTGCTATGAATTTAAATAACGAAAATAGTCTCTTTACACGTTGAATAAGATTATTTGTCACCCTCCCCCATTTCTTATCACAAAAGTTTTTGTACTAATATTGCATCAGCTTTACAAGTACTTTTCTTCTTCATTTTCCTGTTTCTTGGAGCCCTTGACATCAATTTCTAACAGCGGCGATAAAATTTGTTATGCGAGTTTTGCTAAATCCCTTATTTCATCACTGCACTTCTAATGATGTAGTAAGGAAGTAAAACTCCGCATAATTGAGTATATGACAAATCAATAGTTGAAACCTATTATTGCACATCATTGGAGTTAAATTGTTTTATTAGGGATCTCAAACAATTTCCTTTGTTATGCCTTTGTCCAATGAAATTGTTGTCTCATCATCCATCTACCAACTCACAATGCTAACTCAAAAACAATAGGAGATTAAACACCAAACAATAACAGAAAATAACAACTTTCTTTTGTAACTAGTAAGCCCAAAAAAAATTGACTATGCACATTAAGGTTTCATTTGGAAATTTGACTTTTAAAAGCCAAAAATTTACTAAAAAAAGTCAAAAAATCATCAAAAAAAATCTAATCATATACACCAAGTCATTTAAATATTTTAATAAATTTTTTTAAAAAAAAAAATTTATTCCCAAACACATTTACTTTTTCACTTGTAAAAAAGCCAAAAAAAAAACTAAAAAATCACTAAAAGAGCCAAACTCCAAACGGAAGTTGATTAGAAAGTGAACCGAGAGTCATTCTTGTGACAAGACTTGAACCCTTGACCTTCTATTTAAGTGTAGGGCTATCCACCAACTAGGGCCCAGTTGGTTAACCCCAACTGTGGGTTCTGTCTATTCCTATGTCTAAAACAATAATATAATCAAAATCCAATTAAATTCCCATGAGTGACCACAACTGTACGAGGTATAGAGTTAAGCTGATGACATACGAATTCCAGATAAAAAGTGTCAGAGTGAAGAATCACAAACAAACCAAACAAGTCAGAAATTCTGCCATCCTTCATCATTTCAAATAATGATTGAGAGGACCTATAAAAAGTGAATGGAGACCAAAAGGCATATCATGAAGCAGCTGATAGATGATGCATGAAGTATCTATTAATTCATGTCAGACAAGAATTTCAAAGGTTGAATTTAAATGGGGGTATACAGTTTGAAGGCATGTGGTTCTCCTTAATGTTTAAGCATTTTTTTCTTTGGTTACACAAACTTTTCTTTATCCATGTATCTTTTTACCTTAGTACTACCAAGCTTGGAAAGTAGAACTCAACAAACTTGTTTCTTGTTAGAGCTGTAGGCCTCATAAAATTTGTTTGAGTTTGCAAACTAGTTGCCTATTGTTTTAATTAAAGGGGCATAAATGTTTATTAAATTTTCATGTCAGTGTCATAATGACATCATTCTAGTCTCCTTAAGAACCATGTGAAATGTATTTTTCCAACAACAACCGGCTGTAGCAAAAACTAATAGTTGATTTTTTTTTTTCATTTTAAGTTGCTACTAAAAAAAATAAAAATTTCCTTCTTAGATGCGAAGTGTATTTCAAATATGTTTTTGTTATTTTTCGAACCAGTTGAAAATCAGCAAGAAACATTTGAATGTTACATTGGAATTTGCATAAGCTAATTGCATTTGTAATAGAATTAAAAGAAAAATACCATGAAATTTGTTTAGAAGGGGCTTAAATTATTTGGCTGATTTAATGACAATGGCAATGTCTTAATATTACATTCACAAGTTCGATCCTAGAATCCTAGTTGTTCATGGATGTCGAAAAGTCTCCTGGGTAGTTAGAAACAAAAGAAGTAACAGCAAAACATTATTTGAATCATCCAAAATTTTACTGAAAATCATCATCGTTTATAGGTTCCGGAGACAATCTTTTTTGAGGTAATTGATTTCCAATAGATAGTTTAGGCTTTGATACTACATGCAATGTACCTTTTAGAGAACTTCTCGCTGATTTCAAATTTACCCTCTGAATAGGCGTGCGAGAAGTAGGTAGCATGTTCTGGACAAAACCAACATCTGAAGAAACTGACGGCAGTGACTGTTGTGGAGATGAAAACATGGATTTTTGTCTCAGGCTTTTCTTTGAACCGGACTCTTCCTTATTTCCTTCTACTCCTTGGGTCTTTGGGCTTTTCATTGATTCAACCGGCACAAGTTTCCCATCTATTTGGTTTGTGTAAACAAACGAGACCTGCAACAACATAAAAATGTGAGATATAGATAGTCAGCTCCTTGTCATAAGATGAGAACATTGTCATCTGTAGCATGCTCATCATATTAAGGGTCTTTTACATTTCAATTTAAAAAAAAAGTGCATAGAACAGTGCGTTACATCCTAAAAAGCAAGGACAAAAAAATTAGACACGACACGTGGAGAACACACACAAAATATTTAGTTTTATATATTTATGTCATATATAAAAAAGGAGTTATTTATAAGCCACATATTTGTTATTTAATTCAAAGACAATAACATAATGCATAAGCACTTGATTTCATTCCATCTGAACCCAGGGTTGACCAATGCCAAGACATATGGATAAGCTCGTCTCAAATATCTCATATCTTGCAAGACAAAATGCAGGAAGATAACATATAGAGGACTAACACTCTTCAGTAGATCTTTTAGCATTTTGTAATGCTCAATTATTTTTTCATAGGTAGGATATATGATGAATCTGCTATGCTATTAAAGGAAGCACGAAAACTATTAAATTTGTCTGAAGTTAAGAAATTTCTCCACACAAGAAATTCAACTTCATTGAAATTGAAGCTCTTGGCACCTCCTCTCCAGCTGAAGCTTGGAAAATAGCATCAGGCACTGTTGTTGCAAAAAAATGATGCCCCCAACTACCTAAATCCTCTTCCAGAGGAGCTCCTACCTGAAAAAGAGTGGCAAAGAATTTCCAAACAAATGATTAGAACCAAGAACATTAATACTATAAGCATAAATTTAACACCAGAAATTTTTGATAACCTGTTTCTCTGAGCTTCGTAACTTATGCAAGCACCCAGAAATGCTAGCAAATCCTCCTATATCCTCTTGATCAGATTGACAACCTTCATTTGTTGATCTGGCACCATCTACCTCGTTTACTTCATCAAGCATGTCATCTACCACTGCATCATAGTTTTGACAACGGATGCAGCTCATCTTTTCATGAATTTCAGATCTACAAGGATAATAAAAGAAAGAAAAAAAATATATATATCATTACAGAAGTGTGACAATAATCATATGGATGGAGGCATATTCCAACCAAAAGTTGGAGATATGGAAGCCAATAAGAAAATTGGGAAAGCTAGTGAAGTGAAGATAGATTAAAGAGAGTGTAATTTCTGTTCAATACTTCAATGGTATCTGTTAAATAATTCGTAGTAATGAAAAATTACAAGTATTTTTAAATAGTTAATAAAGATCAGCACCTTACTTACTGATGATTCTAACAAAGTATAGCCCAGAAATGTCCGATGCCAAGGCAAAACTTACTGTGTTTCCTTAAGAAATTTAAAAGCCAGTTTATTGTTTTTTTCAATTACATGTGACCAGGCATTATGAGTGTATCAGTATATTTTCTGTTCAATACTTCAATGTTAGCAGATGAATGGTTCATATTAATGAAAAAGTACATAATTTATTTGTACATAGTTATTTCCTGATGATTCTAACGAAGTATTGTCTGGACTTATCCTAACGAAAACTTAACAGTGTTCCCCTCGAGGAATTTACATAGTTGAATTACATGTAACCAGGCATTATGAGTATTTTCGATTTTGTTGTTTGAGTTAAGTAATTCAATTGATAATACCATTAGGTTAAAGCATGTTGGGGAGAGAGAGAGAGAGAGAGTTTAAAGCTTTCAGCATCAAGCACATGTATTGTTTAAGCATGCATATATAAAGATGAAACCATCCAGTAATGCATCTGACGATTCTAACGAAATGTGAGGAGACACGTACCTCACATTCTCACGAAATGTGAACAGATCCCGTAGATCTTCTGTTGAGAGAAAGTTCCCCTGTAATTACCACTATTGCTGTTATACATTTAAAGGCATTTCCAATAGCACCACGGCTGAATCAGAACAAGTACCTGGTCCTTAGCTTTATCTGTTTGTTCCTGCTAAATAACTTTTTGAAGCCCTTCTTTTGACATCTGACGCTGGTACACCTGCAGAAGATCAGAGAGGTTTTTAAAAACAACAAAGACAAATCATGCATCAAGTTCTCAAACTGCAACAAAAGTGGTAATAACATTAACTAAATTATTGATGTGTCAAAACCTTTTCTTCAATGGTTCCAGTACTCAAAAATCTATAGATATACACTCGCTTTTTTTGTCCATCTCTCCAGACTCTTGCAGCAGCCTGCATGAGTCAAAAAATAATAATAATAAAAGATAAAAACACAGAAGCCATGGAAAAACAATAGGGTTATTTATTTTTTGAAACACGTCAAGGTCCTGTATGAAAATTTAGGGAAAGTAATTACTTGTTTGTCATTGGCAGGATTCCAATCAGGGTCAAATAAGACCAGTCGATTCCCACCTATCAAATTGAGGCCACAACCACCAGCCTTGCTGCTCAGGAGAAAGACAAACTCATCCTGACAGATGTAAATTGAACTTGTTTCATCAAGTCAGCTCACATAGTTGCATATTCAATTAATGGACCAAAAATTATGTACCTTAGATGGATCATTAAAGCGGTTCACCAACTTTTGCCTTTTACTGATTGATGTAGTTCCATCAAGCCTTAGGAACGGATATCTTCTCTCTCGACACAATTGAGCAAAAAGGTCCAGTGTCTGATGAATTAAAACTAATTTATTTAACACCAAACAAAACCCAAAAAATAATAATAATAATAATCTTATGGGAAAAGAAGTGCCACACCACAAGTAATTGCCTGATGGACAGGATACATAACCAGACAACTTGCATAGCAGTAAACATTCTCATAAGCACAAAAAAATATCAATTTCACTGTGAGAACATTTTTCTAAGTTCTTTTTTGGGAGCGCGAAAACTACAGCATTCAAATACTTCCCACATGGCTACAGCTTCTCAAGAACTATGTGTTTTGTGTGAGACAAAAAGCTAAGGCAACAATACATTGTTTGATTTGTACTTCAGAGTAACCAGTTACTTCAGTTGGCAAGAATCAATCTAAGAACTACCTGTGTGTAGTTTGAGACCAAGACAATTCGGTCATCTGTTCTCTGGCACAGCTGGGACAGAAACCGGGCTAAGACATGCATTTTTCCAGATAATTCAACCCAAACCCCCTCGCCACCAGTCCAAGATCCAGATCTAACAGAACAGATAGAACTCCAAGATATCAAAAATATTGGACAAGAATTTCAGAAAATATAGAAGCAATGACTTACCTTCCAGAGAACATTTCTGGAGGGAAAAAGCGCAAACAGTCCTCAAATCCTGATGTTCCTGGACTCCCACTTTTTATCGTATCATATATTAGCTTCAAAATAAAATTACCATGCGTGAGAATACAGCAATTCTGATATTAAGAATCAACAATAAATACAAAGGGAAGACATTAAAGTGGTCATTTTAACATGATAACGTGGACAGCAAAAGGATCAAATTCAACCCCACTTTTCTTAAATCATTTATTATGTTTGAAGGACTTTAATCTAGCTTTGGAGTACCTCAAAGATCCAATGCCAGTTTCAAAAGTTAAGGATCAGCACTCTATCCAGGGTGAAGTAAGAAATTCCAAGGGTAAGGTAATGTAGCAAAGGAAACTGTCAAAAACATTGCTAAAAAGTCACTTTTTCCCATTAATAATAAATATAAAATTACAAACAGAAACTAACTTCCGTGCAAAGGGTCACATTAGAGTTTTGGGCAAATTTCACTTTAACCCCTTGTGGTTTGGCACATGTGTGGATTACCCCTCTCATTTGGCAATAACCACATAGCCCCCTTGTGGTTTGTGCACTGAAGTGCATTGTTAAGCCCGCTAATGATTTATTGAAAAAAACTAAAATAACCATGTATAGTTGCTAGAATAGGAAACAATATTTGTTATATTTTATTCTTATTTGATTTTATTTTCCCTTGATTGATGTAATGGGCTAGCCCATAATTTATGCCTAACAGCACTGTTGTAATTACGCATTATTATCAATATAAAAAGGGATGAGGTCTCACTCATTCTCTATCTCTATCTCTTAAACTTTCATGGTATCAGAGTCATGCCCTAGCTCTCTCTTCCTCTTCCTTACCCATCCCACACAACTGTTCCTGTTTGCCTCCCCAGCACCCAAAAAAAACCTGTAACTCACCCAGCCAAGCCGACAAACCCTCTACACCACCCCACCAGAGCCGACAATCCCCTTTTTTAGATATTTCTTATCAGTCATTCTTAATAAAGATAGTAACCAAATAGACAAACTATCAATTTCCAAAGTAACAATAATTAACAACAATGTTGATATTTGGACAATAAGCATATATACTTTTCTAAGTAACAGTGAGCAAATAATAAGAAAGAATTATTTAGAATCTTTTATTTTAAAGCCTAAAGCATTTTAAAAAGTATAACTAACCTCACACATGTAATATTCAATTTAATAAAATAGTAATAGATAATTTATAGTGTAACTTTAATCTTAAACATCTTTTTAAGATAAATTATGATTTTTTAAAAGAAAAAAAAAATGAGAAGAAAGGTTAAAAATATATTGGGTCTGATTGAATCTGATTGGATCCTATTGAAAACTCCATGATCGCTAAAATAACAATAAATCATGTATATATGTTGGTTATTTTGGTATTAAACGCTATTAAAAGTTGTATTATGCCATTTTCACTACAAAGTTGGAGAAAAAAAGAGTCAAAAATATGTCGGACACAATAATTTCAAAAGTTGCATGAATCGTAAAAAGTAAATCGAATCGTGAATCGATTGTGAATCGTGCGATTCACTAGAGATTCACTTCCAAAATAGATTCACCAATAGATTCGTATCGATTTTGCAAAAATTGCGAATCGAATCGTGAATCGAATCGTGAATCGTAAGATTCTGATAACAGAGGCTAGAATAGGAAACAATATTTGTTATATTTTATTCTTATTTGATTTTATTTTCCCTTGATTGATGTAATGGGCTAGCCCATAATTTATGCCTAATAGCACTGTTGTAATTACGCATTATTATCAATATAAAAAGGGATGAGGTCTCACTCATTCTCTATCACTATCTCTTAAACTTTCATGGTATCAGAGTCATGCCCTAGCTCTCTCTTCCTCTTCCCTACCCATCCCACACAACTGTTCCTGTTTGCCTCCCCAGCACCCAAAAAAAACCTGTAACTCACCTAACCAAGCCGACAAACCCTCTACACCACCCCACCAGAGCCGACAATCCCACTACACCACACCACACCACTAGCGCCGACAGCCTCTCTACACCTCGCCACCAGTGCCGAGAGCCCTTCCTTCTTCTTTTCCCCTCGGCAGGCTTTTCCAGGTCCTATCGAGGGCCTTCCTCTAGCCGACCAGCCTCCTTGCTAGTTGGGTGTCGTTCGACTGCCCTTTTGAGGGTCGCCAATCGTCTCTGGTCGTGACGTAAGTCCTTCACAGTTGTCTGCTCTGGGTTTCTTCTTTCTCTGATTACGTATTACGCCTAAAACCAAAAAAACAAAACCAAAACAAAAACAAAAACAAAAAAACAAAAACCAAAAACAAAAAATTGATGAGTTTTTAGTTCTTTAATATTTTTAGTGGTCATTGTGCTTACTATTCCTCCACCATCTTCCGGGTTTGTGATTGGCACGAGTTTTGTTAAGGGTTAGGAAGTAGAGTGTCCATGACAGATTTCACTAGTGTATCCACTACTTCTCAAACACCTAAGAGTGAGAATTCTATTATAACTACTACTATGACGGATAATCTCAATCCTAGTCTTAAAATCACCACATCTCTATTCAATGGTCAGAACTATCTAACGTGGTCGTAGAGTTTGACAAATTTTTTTGAAGAGCTGAGGGAAGATGGGGTATGTTGATGGCAAAATACAGTCACTTAGCACCATGGACCCGAGTTATAATCAATGGGGGATCACCAACTCCCTAATTATGGATTGATTGATACATTCTATGGTCCCAGATATTGGCGAGGGCTATTTATCTATGGACATTGCATAGGATATTTGGGAGGTAGTGGCTGCTACTTACTGCCGGAATGGGAATTTCTCTGCATTGAGAGGGCAGTACAGGGTGAGTTGATTGTTCTCCAGATATTGGCAAGGGCTATTTATCTATGGACATTGCATAGGATATTTGGGAGGTAGTGGCTGCTACTTACTCCCGGAATGGGAATTTCTCTGCATTGAGAGGGCACCGTCTTAAGACACCCCTCTTTGTTACTACATAGGCATCTTTTTCCTTCTGTTTTTGAGACAAATAATGTGTCTGATTTTCAGTGTGAGTCATGTCAATTTGGAAAACAACACAGAGTTTCTTTTGCTCCTTTTAATCAAAGTTCAGTTCCATTTTCTTTGATTCATTATGATGTATAAGGTCCCTCACATTTTGTGTCTTTAAAAGGTCCAAAATTATTTGTTACTTTATAGATGACTGTTCTAGGACCACTTGGATATATCTGATGAAAGACAAGAGTGAGGTGCTTTCTGTGTTTCAAAATTTTCATAGAATGGTTTGCACTCAGTTTAGGGTTGTCAAAATTCTGCGTTCTAATAATGAGGAGGGAATATATTGACTCCGATCTTGCCAGTTATTTTGCTACCCATGGGATTATTCACCAAACTTCTTCCACTAATACTCCTCAACAAAATGGTATTGCAGAACGGAAAAACCGTCATCTCCTTGATGTGGCCCATTGTCTATCCTTTGAAATGCGTGTCCCTCGATCATATTGGGGGGAAAGCAGTTTTCACTGCAGCTTATTTAGTTAATCGTTTTCCCACCCAAGTCCTTCAACAACGAACCCCTCTTCAGGTTTTGTTCAGGTCCACTTCTTCTGGGTTCTTCATTCCCCCAAAGACTTTTGGATGTGTTTGTTTTGTCCATAATCATTCACCCACTCATAGTAAATTGAATCCTAGGTCTCTTAAGTGTGTTTTCCTGAGTTACTCTGCCACCCAAAAGGGCAGTAAGTGTTATCATCCTCCACCTCGCAAATGGTTTGTTTCCATGGATATCAGTTTCTTTGAGTCTCAACCTTACTTTCTGACTTCCCCAGTGTCCTAGTGATCCTTCAAGGGGAGTGTTGGTATGAAGAGATTCATGTGCCACTACCACCAGTGGTTGCACAGATAGAGGATGTTGAGCTAGCAATTGTTGTGGAAAAGGAAGAAGACAAAATTTATGTCAGGGACAAAGATAGACAGAAAGTCACCTCGATGCAAAAGACTACTTTCCCTCCTCTACTGCCAACTTCTTCTCCAGATGAGTGTCCAGAGTCATCCCCCTCTCCTGAGAGTCCAGGTAATTCTGATCATAATGCTCCTATTCCTGAGTTCTCAGATCTTGATGTTCCCATTGCTAATAAGAGGAGGGTTAGGTCATGTACTCAGCATCCTATTACTAATCATGTCTCTTATTCTAATCTGTCTCCTATGTATAAAGTCTTTCTGTCTAAAATTTCTTTTGTGAGTCTGCCTAAAAATTTTCAAGATGCTTTATGTATTCCTGAGTGAAAACATGCCATGATGGAGGAGATGAGAGCTCTCAGCAAGAATGACACTTGGAGGTTAGTGGAGTTACCTAGAAGCAAAAATCTAGTCGGGTGTAAGTGGGTATACACAGTGAAACACAAAGAAAACGGTTCCATAGAACGGTACAAACCAAGACTGATTGCTAAAGGCTTCACTCAGACTTATGGGGTAGATTACCACGAGACATTTGCACCTATTACTAAGATGAACTTTGTGCGAATACTGCTCTCTTGCAGTAAATTTGGATTGGCCACTTCATCAATTTGATGTGAAGAATGTTTTCCTTCATGAAAACCTAGAAGAAGAGGTCTATATGAATATTCTCCCTGATTTTGAGGATGCTAGGTCCAAAGGTAAAGTGTGCAGGTTCTGAAAGTCACTTTATGGGCTAAAGCAGTCTCGAAGGGCTTGGTTTGAAAGGTTTGCTCAAGCTATGCTAAGATATGGGTTCAAGCAAAGTCAAGCTGATCACACCTTATTTGTGAAACACTCACATGGTAAGACCACATGTGATGACTGAGTATGTCATTCGTCTCATTCTTCTTTGTTTAACCTTGGATTTGCCTTATTAGGGTTTCGGGTGTAACCGGGAGTCTTGTTAACGGTTCGTTTTGTTGTATTTGGAAACTTGTTTCAGGTCTTTGCTTTTATTTTTTTTCTGTGTCGAGTTTCTCATGTTCGGAAGGTGCAAGGTTGGGTCCGAAGTGGCTCATGTTGAGCTATAGAGTTTCCTGGCTGGGAGGGGCAGAGTCGCACGTGCAGGAGGTGAGGCCGCA